CGCGACAGCCCATCGATTTCCGGATTCTCCGCGGAAACGAATGCGTATCTGTTTCGCGGCGCTCTGCCTCTATAAACTCAATCTGCCAGCCAGACCTGGCGGCATTCATCGCGAGTAATGCATATGCAAAGTGACTGTAAAATATTGTTTTCGTCCATACTCTGTCGCGTTAAAAAATGTCGAACGTTTCTGGTCATGGGTCGCGCTTCCGCGTGTTCCTGTTTGTGTAAATATCCCCGATACGGGACAAACGAACGTTTATCGTGAGAAATGTGCCGGATTTTCATCTTAGCGTGGAGGGGCGATGCTGCATGAAGTTTGTCGAGAATCAGTCGATGGCGAGGAATTTTCGCTGGAATTTTTCTTTCTTCGGGTCAGCATACGGAGCATTCGTTAAATTGAGAATACGAAATTTTGCGCATCCTCTGGAATAGTTTTCAGAATAGTTTTGTTATCAGACGGTTATTGTATAGTACAAGCATTTTACTCTTAACCGAAGGTATTTTGGAATTTTCGATGGAATTCTTTTTGTCGTTATGGACTTTTTAACTGGGCTATCCGGAATAGTTTTCAAAATAGTTTTGTTATTAAGCAACGAGTATATAAAATAGAAACATTTCGTTTTCAATTAAAGGGATGGAATTCTGAGCGAAATTCTTTCTGCTGTAGTTTTCGGGAGAACTTTTTGACCAGAAATACGAACTTTTTGGGGACTCGGTGAGATACTTTTTCATTTTTATGATTCCATCGACACGCACCGCTTTTTGCCAAAATGAAATCGTGAATTCTACGAATAACAGAAATACAAATCCGAATGTGCCAGATATTTTAACACGCGTTTGCGAGGACAATGGAAAGCACGCGTGGAATTCCTCGAACCCGTCTGTCTGTTTTCGCGTCAGTAGTACAGCCACGACGTGGGCCAACGTCAAAGACTTCGTTTCGCGTGTAAACAAATCACGGGAGAACCCCAGCGGCGCTAATCCCCGCACGATCCGGATCATGAATCCGATTCAGTCGTCGAATCCGTGGACAATCGGCCAGCAATTAATCCAGAGCGAAGTTTACCCATCCTACCGGGAGCTGTGTCTAATCGAATCGAAGGACGCGCGATCCAAAGGACTCTCCGGATTCCAGACGACATTAATAGCGGAAGACAGAGGCAGCGATAGAGAACTGAGAGAAGAAGCAGGCGAAGGAGAAGGAACAGAGATGTGCGTTTAAATATTTACACAGCCGAGGAGATCTTATTGAATTCGCATCGCGATGAATCAGCCCAACCACCTTATCCAGAAGAAAATGTTGAAAAAAAGTGGATAAATGGATGAATGGATTTCTCTATGAGCATCTTCCGATGAATTTTTATGCATCGTTCATTCCATCGATTGAAATCTAACGAACTACAAAGTGAACGATTACGAGCGAACCGTTTCATTTTATACGATCGTGGGAAACTTCGAGACACAAAAACGCACAGAACGTGCAAAAACAAATACGAAATATTCAGAGTACAGTATATCACAGTATATTACCCCTTGCACAAGTAAAACACTTTTTTACCTAAATTCGATTACTTTAATCGATAAGCGGATGACCGAAGAGGAATGAACAGGGAATTTCAGAGAATTGAACTCTGATTAGAAAGATGCATCGAGTTAGAAAATTTTAAATAGAATAATAATAAGCAGGAATTACGTAAAAGGGAATCATAATTCAAAAAATATTGAGAAAAAATCAGTTTACCGAACGTTTCATTCTTTTAAGAGCATTCGTTTTCTCTTTCTATCGAAATCGCGCGACCAACCAAAATCTCTAACCTATCGCTGCACGATAGAAAAAGACTTGAAAAAGTGGATGGATGGCTGGTTTCCCGCGGCTTTTCGGATGGATTTTTATGCTTCGTTCGTTCGCTCGTGCGCGATTTAACGAAATACCAGACAAACGACAGCGGCAAAAGGAACGTACTCGAGCAGTGCGAGGATAGAGCGAGACGCAAAGAGCTGATGAAGGCTCAGAAATATGCAAACGCGCGCAACATCCCCCGAAGCATCAGCTGTATGAATTACGACCCCGGTACGTATTATCGTTCCCGGTTCCAAGGGGGCGAAAACTCATCCGACTTGCACACGTACAAAGGGCGGCGAACGCGTGGCTAAAAAGGGCCGACGAAAAAATATTGCATCGACGACGTCGACATGACTGTTCGATCTGGGGCAAGAATCGCGTTAATACGCGATAACCGCGATTCAACGAGGGATTTTTCCTTCATCCCTTCGTTTCCTCTTTTCCTCGTTTCGTACCACCGACGCGGCTGTATCCCCTAATCCTTCAAATACGGTTGTCGTCGATAGGGACGAAAAGTTTGCCTATCGATGTCTCTGTTTGAAAATTCTATGCGAATAAACCGTTTACGTTTTGGTTGATTTACTTTCCTTTGAACTTTTGAATACAGTAAAATAAATGAAATTTATAATTAAAACTTGCCATAGATTTATTATAAAATTCATAAATAAAATTTATTACATTATAAAATTTTCAATGAAGTAAATTAAATATTATTTTATTGCTTGCTACACGAATAATTAGTCTTGTACCTATGATGTATTAGTACTTTCTACGTAACAGATGCTTGTATTTGCGTGTGAGATGTATTGATAATGATTTATGAAATGTACGGGTGCTTAAGGGGTTAATTACGCGCGATGCCAACGTTACATTACGCTATAGCGTAAGATAATGGAAATGGGGAATTAGAATCGCCTCTATGTGTTTCCGAATGATATTATTCCGCGGATTAAGGGTCGTTGACGGCTGCTAGACAATTTTAGCTACTAATTTCTTGGGTGACAATGAGGTCGTACCGTTGTAGTTGGCTAGAATCAATTGGTTAGTCGTATACGGAAGGGTAATTAGAGGCTGAGAAGCTTTGTTTGTTACTGAATTTATGAGGGTCTTAGAGAATATGGAGATAAAGTATGGAGTAATATTGAAGCGATGCAGATAGCAATTTAGAAAATACGCGAGTTATTCTAAATTTATGGAATCAAGTTGTCTATTTTTTAGAGTATTAAGTATTAACTCCGTAGCTGGATAGTGAGATCGATCATTTAAAACAACTGATTTTTATCCTTCCAAGAAGCAAAAAGAGCAAAATTTTCCTCACTATTCAATGCAATGAAAAAGAAATTCCAATATGATCTTCTTCAAAAAGAGAAATTCTTTTTGTTAAAAACGAAAAAGGAAACAAAAAAGGAAATCATGCGGAACGATGTAGAAAACCACGAATTTCGAGCCGTTTGAAAATGGCCAATTAACAATTTTTTCCTAGAAGCGAGGGGCGTCTATTAAAAATAATTATACGAGTCAAATTGACCGGATCATTACAAGCTCGAAATTGGCTCGCGGTTTGGAAATCGCGCGAATCCCTTTATTCGAGATAGCCGTAGCGCGATCCAGTTAATTTTGAAGTATGCAACCCTTGCTGGCGGCCCGTGTGCAACTACCTCGTCGTGATAACGCTATTTCCGCTCCGAACTATGTGAATTCAGCCGTGTGATGCTTGTTTATTCCAGAAGAACTGCCAGACAGCGGTTACGCCGTTATTAGCGAAACCGCGCTGTTACGCAATTATTCGCGCGTTACAATCGCGCTTTATCCCCTAAGATTTCGATAGTTAAACTTTTATCGAGTATCTGTCTTCGTAAGAGTGAGAAATCGAGATTTCGAAATTTTGATACGTTTTAACGAGTGACAGCTTGAAATGTTTCATTTCATATACTGTATATCGTCCAGAAAATTCATGCTATTTATTGCTTCGCACCTGAAGCAACTCGTTGTTAAAAGGGACGACAAATTTCTTCCTGGAACAAAGGTTCTTCATGAAATTGCTCGATACATTTATCGTATATGACATATAATGCTAAAAAAATTTGTTAAATCCTTTGAATATTGCTTAACGTGCATACAGTATACTTTTCTACAAAGGTAATTCAAAAGTGTTAAAAAGAAAAAGAAAACGCTTCTGAAAGTGTAGTTAAGGAGAAAATTTTCGAGCAAGGATCAAAAAAGGGACGAAAAGAGAGTGGAAGGTCGAGTAGAGGCGCGAAGAACACGGGGGATAAGAGGGAGGGCAAACAGTCCGTGTACAAAGCAAAGAATCGAACAGATGGAATTGTTCGTCTAAACGCTTGGTCCTTGTAAATGTACTTCTTCAAACAGATACACGCGCGCCACTTACATCTTGTACATCGTAGAAGGCGTGCAAACAATCCACTTTATCTACAAACTCGCAAGTTCAGAAGGTTCACTTGAAAATCGCGTTTTCTATCGATTTTCGTTGAATCGGCGTATCCCGTTGTCTAAAGTCTTCTGACTTAAAACGATTTAACGTATGGTATCCCCATAAATAATAAAAGGGATTGAATAAGAAATAAGAAACTTACCTTCGTAGACCCAGTCCGGTACTCCATTATAAATAATTCCGAAGACCCCGGTGTCTGTGATTTGATAGTCGACGGCCACTTCTGCCTCCGGTCTATAATAGATATTGTTCTGGTACACGTATACCAGTGCATTGCCTTGTGGTGCCCAGGTTGCTAGTTGCAAGGAAATCGAGTCGTTTGCAGTCAACGAGCTCTCTGATCTGAAAAAAATTGGTTCACGTAATTTTTTACAATTTTTTCCTATAAATATGTACTACTTCGTAGGATATGAGACACTTTGCGAGGTTATATGTAAATGTGTGCAACGAATGAGAGGCGCGATAGATACCATAACCTCTAATCGTTTCCGTCATATTGTTTTAATTTCTATTAATTATATATGTTATACGTATTTAGATGCATATTACAAATTAATAATTCTAGCATTAAAGCAAATATGTAATAGTAAATCTGATTATTAAACACGCGAGGTATAATTCATGGTCAACTTGATTGTTAAATAAATGTGTAATAGAAGACTAAATTATTAAACAGACGCCTAGCAAACTCAATTAATGTATAATATGTAGTAGTAAACGTGATTGTTAAACAAACGTGAAATAGTACGCTCAATTATATGAAAAAAAACTAATAACTAAGTGTAAAAATTATCTTGAAGCTAAAACATAATCGTAATACGAGTTACAGGTTACTCTGACAGCCAAACGAACGATCCAACAAACACGAACAAAAGATTCTAGAAAACTATTTAATTTTATCACAATAAAAACTACTACGTTATTAAACAAACGTATATTAATAGAACGAAGCTAACAATAGTGCATGAACGTAAAAAGAAGCAATAAGTACGTATAGATACGTAACTGACAGGTTAGGTTATACGATGCACTTCAAACTATATGATTAATGTGTATTAATTAAACATAGTAAAAATAATGAAAAAACTCGTGATACACTAAGGAAGCATTTGAAGCACGTTTTTATTACGCAGTTGATAAATTATTACTTTAAGACATTGTAAACGACGTGATACGTATTAACAGTACGAAACTCGACACTAAAGTGACGGTTTGTCTAGCAAATTTGACAATATTTGGGCGCGAAGATTCAAATGCTCTTCTACTCACAATCACGCGACGGAAACTTCGTTCGACGTAGAAATTTCCTCAATCGACGAATTATGAAACTCGAAGCAAATAGTTATACGGAATTGTTAACGTTTTAATTCTGACAATATATTATTATTATATTATTAATTATATTATATATATATTATTAATTATATTATTAATTAATATATTGACAATATATTATTAATATTCCGTAAGAGTCTATAACGACTGAAACCGGGAAACAATATCAGAGTCGATATGAAAAAAGGAATGCTTGGAAAAAGGAAAATCTGTAATCCTCCATCAGAAGTGCATAAACTTCATTATGAATTATGAACTGCAGAACGGATGAACGGTTAATGCATTTAACCACGTACTGCCGTATTACATAAATTTTAATGGAAATAATCCCCACGATTCAACACATTGCAACAAGGAACGAATGCCAATCAAAGACAATAGCTGCGATATATCCGAACGTGGTAAGACTGCTTATATTCAAATGCGACTTAATCGTCGGTTAAATCTGAAGTCTAATAGGCTTATGGAATCAAATCTGGAATAGATTCGAATAGGTATGTATATCTTCTAAGCTATACGCTGCAGCTCTAAATCTGCTTTCCGCGTTGCATCTCGAATATCGGCTAACTCCAGTTAACGCTCAAGTTATTCGTGGCTTAACCTCATCTCATCGTCGTATTCATCGGTCTTCGACGAACAGGAGGAATGATGTCGTTACCATTTACTCGGCACTCCTTCTACGAGCGTCGATATTAACGAGAAACGATCGAGACTCGAATTGAAACGATCGAAGAACAGAGTTAGAAAAAGAAGAAGAGAAGGAAGAAGTCGAGGGGAAAACGGCGTCGTTTGAGATTCCGTAACCTGCAGCACGATAAAACGGCGAGATATAAATGGTCGAGGATTCTACGTTCGCGAAGTAACAAGCAGCCATACGATCTTGTTCGATCAGAATTGCCCCGGAAGAAAGCACTCTCTGACGCGATACGAAACAAACCGGTGGCTACAAACGCCCGCAACCCACAAACACGCTGAAAGGAGTAACGTGTGCTCTTGATGCCGCGATTACCGGCGTGGTCGAATGCATACAAGCTCCTCAGGACCTGTCGGTATTCTTATTTCAAAGGCAGTAAAAGCGGTCCGGACGTAAACCAAAGCGCTACGTACATCGAGATTGCTGTGTTACAGAAAACGATCCTCCAAGGATATCGACGTTATGCTCTAAGCTCGATTCGTTCCTTCTTTCGATCTGTCCCGCCAACAGCTTGATTAATATTTATCTTTATCCTGTTACACAGACTGGTTGGTTGATTGTACAGAGCTAGGCGAGAGTCAGCGAGATCAACATCGAGAATTTGCGTTGCGTGTTTTGTACACACAGGCTGAGTTACACAATTTGCCTATCCTGGGAGATCTATGCAGTGTATTGGGCAGAAAATTTAAGGGATGCTTCTGCGAGGTAAAATCGGTAGGACGAAAATAAAGAAGAAAAACATTGCACTCTTCGGCTTTGTTATTTCTCTGACCTACATTCGTTCATGTAGAAAAGTTGCATGCTTCATTTTTGTCTTATTCTGGCTCTTGTGGAAACACCCCTTAAATTCTCAACCACTTACGTACAAACACCACGTAAAGCAATTGCCTGATACATTTATGTGAATTCTATTAGGTTCGCTGGCTGCTATATGAGGTACCGGGCAGAAGATTTAGGCTACGTATGTTGTACTATGTTATACAGAGTAGGTTACATAATTTGCGTATGTATACGACTGGTTCCTAACATACGTGCAAAAATATTTGATATCTAGAAGGAAGTGTATCGCGATGGAATGATTTTTTTAAGTGAGTTATACGTTTAGGAGATATTCAGAAGATTTTGAATTTATTAAATAGAGTGCATACGCTTTTGTATCAAAATTTAAAAGAGCAATGAATATATGATTCTGTAAATGCGATACTCTGCAGCGCAGAATCCATTGCTACATACATATTTCAGACTGTGTCCAATATCTGGTTATAACTTTCTAGCGAAGTTTTCACTTGCACATTACACGATTTGCCTGCAGTTTGACTGAACAAGTTGGAAACACCCACTATACATTTTATTCCGTCAATATTATCGTACGATATATTGTTAGAAATTGTATAAAGATATAAACTCGAAGAAAAAGCTTAATATATATATATATATATTTGTATCCAAAAAATATTTTTGAAGCTGTTAATGGTGCGCGGCTCTGAACGCGTGGCTTTTGTTTCAATTATCCAAATCCTCAGGATCGTTCATTTAATCGAATGGCAGAAGTAACTCCGCAGGTAGTCGGTAGAATACATTTCCGAGAAGATGTAGATGGGCCTTTTACTTGAAGCGCTGCTTCTTCACTTTTTTTTTATGGTGGAACGTCGTTTTACGAGAACGTTGCTCGGAGATTCTGTCGAGCTTTCGCCTGGTTGGTAGATTCTTGGTTTACGTACCCGCTGTTAGAATATTCGATGCTGGATTCTGGTCTTCGCTTCCGAGATTATGGCATCTTGATTAAACTATAGCATCGAATTTCCCGGCGAACGTTAGATCTCTTATTAAATATCCTCGATTGTGAATCGATTGAAAATCTTGAATTAAGATGGCTATTGAATTACGATAGAAAATGAAATACCGCGAACGACGATGGAATTTCTCGGATTGTAGTGAGTGCTTATTTATACTGGTCTCGCTTTATATTTACTATCGAACACCTTTCACTATCGTAAGAATGCTGAGATGATAGCTTCGTCCTAGATATAATAGATCTTCGAAAATACATCTTATAAATTCATTTGCAGTAAACGCACGAATAAAACGTTGAAAGTGAACGTTTACTTAACTGTATTAGATCCCGATATCTTTCTACTTTTACTATTAAACAGTTTTTATCGCTGTAAGAATGTTGGCACGAGCCAATTTCTTAGCTTCTTTCCAGATATAAATGCTCTTAGATAGATAGATCCTATAGATTTTCTTTCCGGATCCTTTTGCTACCTTTTGTTAAAAGTAAATGTCAGAATCTAGCCCGAAATTTAGGTAAATGGCCGCATAATTTTCACAGAACGGGTATGCAAAGTGATGGATCGGGCTGATTGAGATCCTTTTATATCTAGGAAAGGCAGTAAAAAGGTATCACCGGAATTCGCTAATGGCTTTTAAAGGTGACTATGGTTAGGAGTTAACGCGAGCCGGTGTGTGTTCATGCAGAGTTGGCACACGGTTGAAAGGCTGAGTAATAAAGAAGCTTGAGCAAGCGCGTTACATTATTTCCCTTTTAGAATTGAATCCGCATGCCAAGCAGATATACGCGGTACGTTGTTAAACTCGGTCACCGAAATTAAATGGCGGCTTAAAGAATTTACGGGGGTCACGATGAGAACTCGAGGAACCATCCTTCGGACATTCGCGTTTTTATTTTCCATCGAGCTGAACCGACCGGAAAAGCTTCCTTTGGTACTTTAGTGAAATTAAAACAACGCCTGTATAGAAGAGATATTTTCCAGATTTGGCTTCAGCTTCGATGGCCATTGCGTTTTTCACAATCAACGGTGTGTTCTTCTATTAAAGAAGTTACGAAGATTGGATTAACCTTCCAATTCTTATTAAATATTCACGTTACGATCCAATATTCCTTTCTGATCTTTATTAAGAATTACAAATTATGTAACATGTTTGGCCCTATAACAAAGATGTTTAGGTATTGTATTAATGTACAATGTATCCACGTAATGGCCAAAAAAACTATCAATTTTCTTATCTTATAAAATAAATAAAAGCTAACACACTTGGTTTAGAAATAGGAGGCTAAAGAGTGCAATAAAATCTGAATACCACCCGACAACAAGAACTTCCCTTTTAGAAAATCCAAGTAATGCCTCGTATCCTTAAAAAGACTCCTATAAAACAGTCACCAATAAATTACGTAAAGTGCCAGGTCTTCTCGAAATACCTGATAAACTCTGGGTCAACATCGATATTTCCAGCTAATCCCCAGACGGAAGATCAGTTGTACAATGGGGGGAAAAAAAACTCTAGTAACATG